TATATTTTTTTTAGACCGGGATGACTTAGGGTGTCCGTTCCCACAGACGGCGCCAAATGTTTATGCAGGAATCTGCACAACGGTTCTTCACGAATCGAGCTCGAACCCGGTCTCCGGTTCCGACCTGAACGCTAGAGTGGATCTGCACAAGAGGGTAAACACTCCGACGCTCAAGTCAGTATAGATCGGACTCTTTATGTAGTTTGAGGTGAGATTCGGTACCTGAGCGTGAAATGAACTCCTCTATTTATAGGTAGTGGATCCGACAATACACACGACCGGCGGTTACATGTCTTTTTCTCATATCGGGCCTGTCGGGTTCTGAGCAGGTCGGACCCTAGTCAGGTCGAACTTTGGTGCCCACACTTAGTCTTTTACAGTGGGCAAACTTGGTCTCCTCGGTAGGGCCGAGGTGGACCTAGGCAATCTTTTTCATTCAGTTTCCTTAAACACAAATAAGGGTCCTCCACGTGTTCCGGGTGTGTTTACCCCCAAACAAAGTTATATCACATTTCCACATAAATATCATGGAATGTGATATAACTTAATTTTAACATTTTTAAAAAAATAATAACTTAATAATAAGAAAAATTTATCGCTTCACACATAAATAAAAGCCTTTCATATTCTTAAAAAATAAATTCTTTAAGTTACTCTCACAAATTCCATGAGAATTTAACATTTTTAATATTATTTTAAAATAGTAGTATCAAAATATTTAAAATTAAATATTTAAATAAGTTCATAAAACTGAAAAATGACAATAGAACGTTAAAACTTAAAATAAAATTTATTTATAGAAATTAATTATAAAATTTATGATGACAATTTTAATATAATTAATAATAGAATTTCAAAAGTTTGAGAATTTTGATAATTTTCCGCCCTATTGAATTTTAATAGTTTTACAATCTTATTTGTATTCTAATAATTTTACAACGTTCTCCAGTCCTATGACTGTATAAATATTCTATCTTTTTTTTTTCTTTCTATAAAAAATTGTGCATTCTTCGTTTAGTGTTACTTTTTTCCTCTTTTAGTTCTCTTTTTTCTTTTTTCCTTTTTCCGAAGTTTTAATTATTGCTGAACTATGCTTGTTCTGACAAAATTTATGTTCTTTCTTGTTAATAAAATTTATCATAAATATTAAGTAAACTTCACACATCTACATAAACAATGTTAAATATCTTAATTGAAAAATAAAATAAATATGAAAACTTATAACTTAACCTATATTAACTTTACCACATCCAAAATTTTAAATTCTAAACCTTCATATATTCATATATATATATATATATATATATATATTTATTTATTTATTTATTTTTATTATGACAAACTCTTCCATCTTTATATATTCTCACGTTAAATACGTTAATATTCCTTCCATCTTTATATATTCTCACGTTCATATAATTTGCTAGGATTGAAAAACTTCGCATGTGTTAAAATACTAGTATACCAAAAAATATTGAGTTTAAGTCTACGCAATGTTATTTTAATCTTAAAAAAGAAAAATTTTTGTCTCAAATTTTTTTTTTAATGTAACTTATATAACGATTTGGCTCTAAAAGAAGTTGATTTTGAACTCTATCAATTTAGATCTTGAATTTGAACCTTTGATATATTAAATATGGGAAAAACGTTCATAATTTTGAGTATATTTAATGGTACATAATCTAGTAGGTCCCCAACTCGTTGATGTGATTAATGAGTTAATTATAAACTTTAATACATGGCTAATGAGAACCATCCACCATTTAACTAAAATCTCTCTCTCTCTCTCTCTCTCTYTTTTTGTGTTTGGAATAGGACTCCAAAGTACATAAAATTGATAAGCGTTTATGAAGAAAAAAATGTGGTGTCCTCCGTTACTTCAAGTTAGAAAACATAATTCTCATTACACTTCAAAGGTCCAAGAGGGCTCGTGGACACGTGTGAGAATTCGATTTGCTACCGACGACATTATGATGAGTCAAAGCGGTTGGCATCAAATTATTTGTTAAGAGTAGTTATCTAATAGATGTCAACGAAGGGTTGCGTCTGATCGCATAAGAGTGTGATCCATATCATAGATGTTTTTTTTTTGTTTCTTAAAAACGATGCGGTGTGACTTACGAATCTCTATAATCGGAGTTCATTGTCTAAGCTGAAAAAAACAGTAATTAACATTGGGCTTAAACCCAAACTCTCATGACAACTGATACTCCAAGATCCTAGACCGTTGCTATTATGCCATATTTAGGGAATGATCTAAACCATAGATGCGAAGCACCACGATCCAATAGTAGATATATGTTTATACAAACATACAAAGACACTTTTTAAATGAGTATATTCTTCTTTTATAAAATTAAATATCAAATTAAAAGTTCATGTTGGTAATTCAAGCAAGAACATTATAACTTAGTGTTTTCAAATTACATATCCAGCACATGGTAACTATTTAACCTTTAAACTTTTAAGTTTTAATTATATCTTCAAATACATAACTAGACCATCTAAATAAAATTAAAAAATTAAAAAGAATTATTTTATGTCTATTTAATCTACATTTTTCATTCTCTCTGGAATCCAAGACTCTCCATCAATTGTCTTAATGGATGGATTGATTTATGTTCAAGTCTGACTTTTTTATCTTCTTTTTTAATTAAAGCAATATTCGGTGAGAGATTAAAAAATTTGCAAATGGAGTTGTCACTGCCCATTGGGTTGGCAATTTCTTTTACCTACCCACCTTATGGAATTTCTACAACTAAATTTGTGGTTCTAAAGAAAAAGAACTAAAAAAACTGCAGCAGGAGAGTGGAAAAAGTATTCTCAAACAAACTTTAATATACCCATTAAAAATGTACCACACTAGAAATCTCTAGATACCCAGCTAGGAATCAGGAAATGGAGATATTTATTCACCCAAGTACGATTGAAGGATGAAAGAAGAATCAAAACGCGATTTTAGTTAGAATCTTCAACTGGAATTTGTTCCCAGTTTTGATTTTGCAGAATCCGAAATGAAGATTTGAGGACAAAAACGAAGTTGAGGCAGGCAGGGAATTTGATGCCCAGGTAAAAAAAAACAAAACAAAACAATTCGAGTTCAATTGCAGATGGATTTGTCTGGATGACTGCCTCTTTTTTCACACGTTTTTGCTTTTGATTTTGTGTAGATATTTTTTCTGATGAATTACCACTATCTCCACCACTTGCACAACCATTTTGTTTTATTGGCTCCTACTTTCTCTTCTCTTGGATAATATACTTGTTTTTTCACTGCAATTGGGACAAAACTCTGGCTTCATTTGATTAGTTGGTTCCCCATTACTTCTTTTATCTGTTGAACAGTTTTCGAGTATTTTGGCCCACCACGTGTTTGACAAAAGTCCCATGAGAAAACCCAGGTGTTATCTGAACTGATTTTGATTCAGGGTCTAAAAAATTCAGTAGTGTCACTTGGTATTGATGCAGACTATTGGTTAAAGTTTGTTATTTCTTCAATTTATACTGCTGAGTAAAAGGTAAAGACTGGTTACAAAGCATGCTAAAACAGAGAGAAACTTAAAGAACTATAGTGAGAAAATAGCTATGATCTTAGTGAAACAGGTGAAGGGAACTTCTCTACTCATTGGATTGGGTTGAGGATTCAGCTATGAGATCAAAGGTATTGCAGGGGACTTCTTCCAGCTCTCTCATGTGAGTTGTGTAAGGACTGCCCATTTGAAGGCCAGTGAGCATCCGAAAAAAATCCGAGGCTTCCCCTTTGAGCTTGGCATTCTCCTGAAGAAGCTGTTCTTGAGACTCTGTCAACTGATTCAACTTCTCCATGAGACTCTGATTCTCAGTCCGGAGCCTAACCACAAGTGACCAAAGCTCATCAAGATGCTTCTGTTTCCTCATCCGCGACCTTCGTGCCGATTCCCGATTCGATATCATTCTCCTCCGCTTCCTCTCGTCGACGATGATCCCATGTTTCTGAGTCTGGTAATCACCTTCATCAGAAGTGGAGGTGGAGTTAACTGGAATATAAGACAATAACCCATTGATATTGAGGTTTTGGATCATGCCATAGCCATAGTTTTCTGCTGCAGGAAAGAGAGCTCCAGATATTTCCATGTTCAAACTATGAGCAATCTGAAGGAGTTTAGAATTAGATTTCTGAGCTGATAAGGAAGCACAAAACAAAGGATGGAGGAGTTTTATAGGAAGAAAATGAATAAAGAGCTTCAAATTATTGAAACTGACATCACCAAAATGTGATATGCATATTCTTTTTTTTTCAGCCCACTATTATTTGCATCCTAATATAAAATTCATCAGAATAGTGGTGTTTCAATAAAATATTGTATATGGCATGGATAGTTTCTTGTTTGTTCTGTATTTTATAAATGCTTCAAGAATCCACTTCTATGCAACATGAATATTTTAGCGAAGGAATGAAAGGTTATATATTGTGGATAATCACTTGATCATATCACTTCTACTTTTCTTTATTCCATTAGTTGGGCCTCTCAAATGACTTGGAACCTAGTTGACAAAAATTTTGAGAAATTTAATTGGGTATTTTCAATTCTCTAAAATATTTACGGGAAAAGTAACATTTTGGTTCATGAGTATTCACCTATACGTTTGTTTGATCCCTAGTTCCTACATTTTAAAATGGTGCATTTTGTCCTTGAATTTTTGCAAATAGGTTTAAATAGTCCTACTAGTAGATTTGTTTTAGTCTCTAACGGAAATATGACTGGGTTGATATTTGAATCATCATGCAATGTCATTGGATGGATAAACATTGCAATCTAAAAACAATATCATAGTGGTCTTCCATATGATCATCTACACCAAGATTGCAATGTTCATCTTCCAATCACATTACAAGATAGCATCTGCACAATAGGGTCTAATAAGTGTTCATCCTCATATTGTGATATTTATATTATTTTTTTTATATATTTTATCCTTCTAATTATTTAGAATCCATTTAATGTTAATATATTATATATTAAATTAATTTTAATAAATTATTGTTCACCGCGCCACATACACTAAAACAACCTAAACAACCTATTTCTGCAATTTTGAAAAAAACTATCAGTTTTCATCCTAAAGCTCAAAAGGGTCTCAAATTATTTTGATGAGAGACCTATAATTGAAAACTTAATGAAGAAAATAATGATTTTCCCTATTTATAATTACGATTTTTTTTAATTGTAAATATAGTTTTTTTTGTATAAAAAATATACTAATAGTTGATTAACTTGACGTTGATAACAGATCCTTCTTTTCTTTTCGTAGTCATTGTTTTTGGAAAATTTGCAGATTTTGGGAAGATTGTACCAAATATTTATATATGTTAAGATTTGTGAGATTTCTCAATGCACAATTCTCAACTAAATGGAAACAATAGCTATTATCATATTAAAAATTTTGTATAAAACTTGCATCTTTTATATTTTCTAACTTAGCATTTACATTCATATTACGATTTTAAACCTGGCTCTAATAACAATTTGAAGAATCCTTCTCTCTATGAGAATTTGAATTTGAGAGGATTCTAAGAGTTCGTTTGATAATGTTCTCGTTTCTTATTTATGATTCTGCATGGCCCCCAACACTGATAAAAGAAAAGATATTTATTTATGCTGAAGTAAATTAGAAACGAGAAGAAGAAACAAAAAACTTGTTTTTGTTAATTTCTAGATTTCTATACAATTTTGAGAACGTCTATGAAAAATGAGAAATAAGAAAATAAGTAGTTGTCAAATGCTTAGATTTCTTAATAAAATTGGAAACTAGAATGTTACCAAGTAGACCATAAATTTTCCTTTTCAAGGCAATAAACACAATAATATGAGTGAAAGAGGATGACTAAAGACTCATTTTGTAAAATGAATGACATGGCTCCAACATGGTTGAATTCAAGGATGATAAAGCAATCTTTTCATTTATGTTTTGAAATAAATTGAAAATGAAACCAGAAAGGAGAAACTTGTTTGAAAACGGAAACTTAGAACCCTGAATGGAAGATAAAACTGCACTAAATACTTACATAGATTCACCTAAAATTAGGCTATATCTCGCGTCTACAGTTTTGAATTTCGGTTTTTGCTAATCTATCACAGCAACGTGGAATGAGGTTGTCAAATGGGCTGGGCTTATTAATGAAGCAAAATATTTAAATCGGCTCGGGTCGGTTTTTTATTCGGTTTAGTCAATTTTCCCTTGCACCCCAAGTAAATACCATGAAAGAGCAGTGGGGTCATGTTACAGTGAGGAACAGACAAAACGGTCAAAAAGAACTTGACTCAAAAAAGTGATTATAGAAAAAAGCATCCCTTTGCAATTTCTACGAAACTTCACTCTAACCAGTAGGAGAATCATTGAAACTCTCTCTCTCTATATTCTAGAATACTCCATTCAGAATCATTGAAACTCTCTCTCTCTATATATTCTAGAATACTCCATTCAACATAAAAAGAAGCTGCAAGACAGAATTCAGTCCAAGGGAAACCACCTGAGATTATTGAGTAAAACTTTTTTAGTTTCCCTAATGGCATCCTCCCTAGGCAGCATCAATGAACTCTCATCCTTCATCAATGCACTCTCATCCCTCATCAATGCACTCTCATCCCTCATCAATGCAATCAATGGAGAAAATTCTGGAATCTGTAGTTTTACCTGGAGTAGGGGAGGGGGAACATCCACATCTTCAGATTGCCTACCCATTTGCAACAGTGTGCAGAGGCCTCAGAGTCTTGGGAAGATATTTCTTGGTCGGACTTTTCGGGCAATTGTAGTAGTGTTGTCCACCAGCTTGCCCAGTTCATCCCCTCCACTTCCTACAGTTCTTTTTGGAGCTGCTAAGTTGGTTAGCTTTGTAGTTTCCCTTGCTGGAAATTGCCTTCAAAATGAACACCCGAGAATTGCAAATTTGTTAGAAAAGATCGGTGCTCTTCTTGTTGCTGTTGGTGTCTGCGTCATAACAAGTCTTCTTGTTCCTCAGAACTTGGGTTGGATCTGTTGGCTGGCATGTGTCTCCATCGTGCTAGCCTTTATTATATCATCCAATTGATTTTCAGGGAAGGTTGCATCCCAATGTCCGAAGAGGACAGAAGGAGCGTTTCGGTAGAGATTCCGTGCCCATTTGCTTGACCTCTTTTACAGTCTTTGAAACTTGATGGCTTGGTGTGGTTCATCCCCATTCCTCAAGACATCATCAGCTCCAATTCCCTGAAAATCATGTTATTATACAACTTACAATGACATGATAACTCTGCCTGTGTCATGCCTCATGCATCATTCTTCTACGCAGCCGGTCCCAAGCCCGGGCAAAGGAGGAGGGTAGTGTCATCAGAACCTTGGATGCTGAAAGTTGAGTCGTTAGCAGTAATTTCATCTAAGGAGTAATAAAGATGGCAGCATGAAGAAATATGAGTTCTCTACAGAGGAACCACATATTGCTGAAGCTTAGTCATCCTAAGAAATAGCTAAAATCTTGTCCAGCAAAAAAGTATGTTTTTTGAGTCGTGCAATTAAAAGTGAAATGGGCATGCTAAGTTAGTATCTAATAAATCCTTGAAATTTCAATTTTGTGTCTATTAAAAATTTATTAGATACAATTCTAAAAGTTCGAGTACACTTTTGTTTAAATTACATGGGTCCAAAAGAAAACATAACATAAACAACCATTAAAAATTCAGTCCAAAACAAGAAATGAAGTCACCAGAGGTTGCAAAGAGAAGCATTCACTTTTTTTTTTTTTTTTGATATCAGTGAGTGTCTTGCCTGTCTAGGCCAACTTACGCGTTCTTAAACTAATCTTAAAGACAACTGTCTAAATCTAAGGAAATTCGTAAGATATTAAATCCTACATGAAACGAGAAAACAGATTAGCAAATAAAAAAAGAGAGTACCATTTTGTCCTCCCCAGTTCTGCCTCAAAGCTATTCCATGCAAGTTACCCAGGCAATGCTAACAAGAAAAGGAGAGATTTGGATGTTGCACAATGCTTGATTTTGTCGGAATTCGCATACAAATTTACAATGGAAAAACTTTTGTTGGTTGTATGGCATGAGGTAGAAGTTCCCTGCAGACCATGAATTTTACTGCTACTGCTACCAGTACTTTTTATTACCCCTAAATTATTAGGATATATCCAAATTGATAGTCAACTTACCCAATTAAACAATAATTTAAAAGAAACAAGTAATTTAAAGGTAAGAAAAATAATGTGGTAATTTCTCCTTCAATCTGGAATTCCAGACAGATGTTTTGAAATGATGGAAAGAAGTTAAGCAGCAAAGCAATCAGAGAACTTTGAAGACCAGGATGATATGAGTTCCACATCAGTTTCAGGTAACGAAGTTTTCATCACTTTACCTGCTTTTCTCCTCCAGCAAGTTAATTCAATCCAATACAACAAGCTACTCCACTTATTGAGTAGGCTCAAGAGAAAAAACTAAATTAATAAGGTATCACAAAGTTACATATCTGCATCGATTCACTTATCATTGAAGAATACCCAAATAACTTTTTTCCCTTTCAGTAGAGACATGGCAACAAAATTTAAAGTGAAACATCAGGCAACAGAAATCAGAGAACTTTGAAAGGCATTGCATGATATGGGTTATGCACATCATAGATTCACCTCAACAAGCCTCATCATCTCAAATGGCTAATTTACATTCTTTATGGAAAATTAAAGACTGGGGTATGAATCAAGTTCAGGCAACGCCATAAAAAGAGAACATAACATTGCAAAAATTCACATTCTGAAGACGACCTTATGAATGTTTCTTTGGCCAAACAGGGTTTAGCTGGAGAAAACCTCTCAAACATTTTCCCCCCATAAATTAGATGTAAAGGCCAAAATAATGTAGCGCCTCAAATATACCATTTTCTCGATTTTCCTTACAACTAAACTGAAAGAAGCAAGGGGCTATTTTGGTGCATCAAATCACGCAGGAAAATGAAAACTAAAAACGAAGATTAAATGCTTATGTTTGAAGTAACGCCTCGCTTACCAGAAAATCGATTCGCTAGACAATCGTCGAGAGGAGCCTATGACTTATGAGCAAAGCTCCACTTCAGGTTGTGCTGATAATGAACCGACTTAGGGTTTTGTACCAAATGAAATTTAGGATAGATTGCAATAGTACTCAAAATTTCATTTTTGTCGACTTTAAACTTTTTTTTAAAACCTCCCTTCCGTCTAATTTTCAGTATAGATGAAGACCAAAAATGCCGTGGCTGTTGAAATAGAATGGTGATACACGTGTCTATTTCAGATTTCATTTATACTTCTAAACTTTAGCATATGTTTTAATAATATCATTTACCTTCTAATTCCTTTTTTCTTTTTTTATAAAGAAGTAAGCTTTGTTAACGAGAAACAGTCACCAGAGCTGTAGAAGAATGAAACTCCCCCTTAACAACACGCAAAAGTCAAAGGGAAAAACTTTGCTTCTATTCAATGGAGCTACAAACGTGAAGACCATGCTTGGCAAGAAGATTTGTCGCTCGATTCACCTCTCGTGAAACATACATGAAAGAACAGACTTCAAATTTGCAAGAAGCCAAGTGAATATCGTGAAGGACAACTTTCTTAGGGCCAAGGGTATCCAGATCTCCATTTATTAAAGAGATTGAGGTGCAAGAATCCGATTCCACGGAGAGGCTAGAACAACCAAGTAAGATGGTAAAGAGAAGACCTTCTCCAATAGCCATGAGTTATGCAATAATTGTTTTGGGGCCTATTAAAATTGTTACCTTCTTGTTCTTAGACTATTAAAATTGTTTCAAAACAACCATTTCTAAAATGAAGAAGGAAATATGACGTCATGTGAGTTGTATAAAAAAATCAAAGAGTCCTAATTACATTTGAAATGACATTATATAATTTGAGAACAACGGAATGAATTTGAGAATCGAAAAAAAAAAAAGTAAACATGAAGGACATACAAACTTTGAGGCCTATCAATTGACGAAAATTAATATTAGGATATGAATGGACAAGAGGAAGAGACAAATTAAGAAATTCAAGACAATCGAACCTAAAGATCATTAATTTTAGATAGATTTCTTATGTTTCAAAGATAAAATTGTCTTGTCAAACCGATGATAGCTCAAATGGTAAAGACATCTATCTCTAACCAAGAGATCATGATTTCGCTTCTATACACTTATACTTTCGACGATAAACTATTTCTCTTGTGATCGATGAAGCTTTCTCTCGTTACTCTTATCTTGTTCAACAAAGAAGCAAACCTTTCTTATTCTTAAGTTGAAGAGTTCGTGATGCATGAGGAATGCACTTTCAATCATGAAGATGTAATTAACCAATAATGATTCAAAAATAAAGAAATCATTTCTAACTTTTAAAAGTAAGTAATATTTCCTATAAAAAAATAAAAGTAGGTTATATTTAATAATTACATAATCGATAATTGTTCAAAAATAGTTACGAATAGATCTATAAACAGAAAAAAAAAATCAAAATCTTATAGAAAAAAATTTACCTAGACTCAGAGTTCAATCCTAAAAGAAAATTATTGAATAAGTTTTAAATCTTCACCAATGGAGCTAATCTCTTTATTTGATCAATAATGAGAGATTGAAGAGAGGATAGTACATTGAGAGTTATAAACCTAATTAAAAATAGTTTATCTTTTATGTATTCAACCAACTACTAGTCGTCTATCAACCTATAATAAAGAAAACTAATATACCATTTAAATTATTTCTTCTCGACTTCTTACGATAAACGATTCATTCTTAAACAAAACAAAAGTATCACATGTGGCTTAACATATTATATGCGTGAAATTAAACTAAAAGAGGCTTGCTCAAAAGTAGAACGTCATTGGGTAGAATGAATTCATAGTTTGGTTGGGCAAAAGTGACCTTTACATCATTGAGAATAGTTGGACAAGATTTAGAGATTGATTAATTTCATCATAATCTCTAATGGGGTGTGGGTGTGGCACAAGTGAGTGTGTGATAGAGTGCCCAAATGAGCAGAAGCAGAGCAGAAGCCATGGAAGCCAGAGAGTAGAAGGCACAGAAAGTGGCCAAAGTGTGCCTTTGAGGGACCAAAAGTGCACTCAAAGCAGCACAGAAAGCAAAGGCAATGGAGATGAGCAAGGCATCATAGGCAGTACCGATCCCCACTCCACTTTCTGCAAACACCACAAGAATTGTGAGAGAGTTCAGAGACAGAAACAGAATGGAGTTCAAGATTATTGTTGGGAGTTTTAGTGCAATTTGGTGTGATTTCATCATTTCCTTCCTTTTCTGATGTGCAGCTGCATGCCATTCAGAGAGGAGAGGAAGGGGAATGAATAGTGAAGTTTTTGTTTTTGATCAGCTCATTATTGGTTTTTTTTCAACCATTTGGAAATTTGGTTTTATAGAGGGCAAAAGGGGGAAGGGAGAAGGAAGTTTCTTGGAAATTAAGGTAGGGGAAAGGCTAAACTTCTCAACCAAGTTTTCAAATGGAAAAATGTGATGTGGGAAATTTCTCAAAAGGAATAAAGTCACCTCTCCTTTTCATTCCATGCCAAAGATCGAACTCACAACTTTTTGGCAGGATGCCATCTTTTTTAAAATATAACTTAAAAATTCAAGAATTTAATCGGAACCTTTTAAAATATAGATACAAAATAAACACAAACCTATTTCGTCCTACTTTCTGTGAAGTAAAATTAATAAGAAATTGGTGCGAAACCATCTAAACACTTTTTAATTAAAAAGTTATTGAGAGTCAATGTATTATCCCTGAGAAGGATGTATTTTGCATGTCATTTTACTTGTATATAGATACTCTGCTATTTCAAGAACTAAATCTAAAATTAACATTCTTTCAAATAATTCCATCGAAGAAAAACTAAAGCGATGTCATCTTAATGTATTAAAAAAAAAAACTTCCTTAAAAAAAGAAACGAAATAAATAAATTGCTTCAAAAAAACCGAAAACATTCCCTCAGACAAGTCCTAAAAGCTCTGTTATCTTTTCCATTCTTCATGCAATGGAGGAGTAAAATGCCATGAAAGAACAGTGGGTCATGTTACTGTACGAAAGAGACTCAAAAAAAGTGATCAAAAGATAACCCCTTTACAATTTCTACGAAATTTAATCTAAAACTTGTAGTAGAATCACAGAAACTTCTCTCTCTATATTCTAGAATACTCCATTCAACATAAAAAGAAGCTGCAAGACTGAATTCGGTCCAAGGGAAACAACTTGAGATTATTGAGAATTTATTTTTTTCCCCAATGGCATCAACTCCACAACAGACCTCTGTGGATATGAATGCACTCTCTTCCTTTATCACTGCAATCAACGAAAGAAATCTTGGAATCAGCAGCTTTACCTGGGGAGGGGGAACATCCACACCATCAGATTGCCTACCAATTTGCATCAGAATGCAGAGGCCACCACCAGCCAAGAGCTCTCAGAGCCTTGGGAAGACGATTCTTGGTCTTACCTTTCAGGCAGTTCTAGCCTTGTTCATCAGCTTACCCAGTTCACCTCCGCAACTCCCTACACTTCTTTTTGGAGCTGCCGTGTTGATCAGCTTTGCAGTTTCGTTTGCTGGACTTTTCCTTCAAACTGCATACCCGAGAATGGCGCTTTTGTTTGAAAAGGTCAGTGCTCTTTTTGCTGCAATTGGTGTCTGCATCATAGCTAGTCTTCTTGTCCATCAGAACTTCGCTTGGATCTGTTGGCTGGCATGTGCCTTCACCTTCATAGTCTTTCTTCTATCATTCAAGTGATTTCAACGTAGCCATTTTTTTGCTTGACCTCTAGAACAGTCTCTGGTACTTTTTTAACCTGGTGTGGTCATCACCAAGACAGCATCAGCTCCAATTTCCCTGACGATCATGTTATTCTAGAATATACAGTGACATGATAACTCTGCCTGTGTCATGCATTAAGCATCATTTCTTCTACGCAGCCGGTCCCAAGCCCGGACAAAGGAGGAGGGTAGTGTCATCAGATCATTGGATCTTGATCTTGTTCTAAAAGACAGGCTGAAGAAAGTTGTGTGTTAGTAGTATTATCATGTTAGTAATAAAGATGGCAGCATCAAGAGAGATGGGCTCTCCCAGTGGTGAAAATACAAAGGAACCACATGTATTGCCGAAGTTCAGTCATCCTAAGATATAACTAAAATCTCATCCTACAAAAATATACATATTTTTTAGTTGTGCAATTAATAGTGGAATGAGCAGCAAAAGGCTATGTTGTTATACTGTTAGAAAGTATCTATAAACCATGTTATTTATAGAACATGAGTCCTAAAATGAAAACAAAACAAAACAAGTAAATATTCATACCCACTATAATACCAACATTCTCTCATGCACACAAGCTTTAAAATTCTGTTGTCATATTAAACTAATCTTTGCACGCTTTGCAACTCTTCTCTCCAAAAATTGTTGATATTCATAGAACATCCTAGTTTAGGATGCTTTGTTTCAAGTGATTGTAACCTCCTCAAGTTCAGACACCACATCGTAAGACCATCCTCCAAAATTCTAATGGTAAATTAATCAGAAACTAAATCCTCTCAGCCATCAAGACTAACCTTTCTAATACTCACAAATCTTTGAAGTAAACCATTCACATGTTTGAGATAATTTAGGTCACTGTGCCTGCACTTTTTTAGTTTGATTATCTCAAGAGCTTGGAAATAGAGGAGAAATTATACAAAATCAAATGGGTGTGAAACAGCCAACGTACCCTCTTTCTATTGTCTACGAATTATCAATTGACACAAGATTACAATGTAGTTCAGGCCATCCATCCAATCATATACAAGTACTTTACCATACCAAAACAAGTTGGGTTGTTATATTATTTGCCCCTTAGGAACTTAAAGCAGAATAAAGTAGAAGTGGGGAGCAATCAGAAACCAAAATAGAATAGATGACATATAGAAATAATTCTTCCATTACAAAACAATGTGGTTGAACTTCACATAACTACGTTTCCATCATATGTTCAATTGTCAATGCCAAAAGAACAGAAAGTCTCTAATCATCTAGAATACAAAGAATTTAACACTATTTCAATGCTGATCTGAATTTATAGCTAGAAAGTTTAGTCCCCATAGGCCCATAATAGCATAACTGACATGAAGTGTGCAGACTCCAAGTGAGGAAAACAGATTAGAATGTAAAAAAGATAATTTCAGGTTGTCCTCTCCAATTCCACATTGAAGCCATTTCATAAAATTATCAAGGCAACAAGAAGAAGAAAAGGTGAGATTTTGATGTTGCACAATGCTCGTATGGTCTGAGATACAAGTTCCCTGCAGACCATGAATTTTAGTGCTACCAGCATCTTTTATTTTCACTAAATTATTACGTAATATCCAAACTAATAGTCAACTTACCCAATTAAACAATAATCAAAATAAAAGAAAGAAGTCATTCAAAAGATAAAGAAAAGGGAGAATGATAATCTAAGCTTCAAAAAGAAATTCCGAATACATATTTCTTATGATGCCAATCGCTAAAATAGCAAATCAATCAGAGAACTTTGAAGACCAGAATGATATGAGTTCCACATCAATTTCAGATAACAAAGGTTTCATCATTTTGTGGAGGCTCAAAAGAAAATAAACAAATTAACAATGTACCATGAATAACACATCTGCTCAATTCACTAAGAAAACAAGATTGTTTTACATATCCTTGAAGAATACCAAAATAACTTTTTCCCTCTAGTTCAAATTCATGAGAGATGGCCAAAATCTGATATCAAACATGAGGAAACAGCAATCAGAGAACTTTGAAGGCATTGCATAATATGGGTTAGGCACATCATAGATTCACCTCAAAAAGCCTCATCATCTTGTAAGCTATTTTAAATTCTTTAAAGAAGAAACAAAACTGGAATTCGAGTCGGGTTGAGACAACACTATAAAAGAAAAACAGCACAACATTTCGAAAATTCACACTCTGAAGTGATCTTATGATTATTTCTTCGGCCAAACAGGGTTGAGCTGGAGAAAACATCTCTTAATATTTCCCCCATAACCATTAGATGTAAAAGCCAAAATGAATATAGCACCTCAAAATATACCCTTTTCTCGATTTTCCTTGCAACTAAACTCAAAGAAGTAAGGGGCTATCTGGTGCATCAGATCACGCAGGAAAATGAAAACTGAAAAAGAAAATTTGCTTATGCATGAACTTCGAAATTTTGATGTCGCTTACCAGAAAATCGATTTGCTTGAGAGTCGTGGAGATGAGTCGTGGATAAAGCTCCACTTTGGCATATGCTGATTGTGAACCGAATTATAGGGTTTTATAGAATTTTGCCGATTTAGGGTTTTGTCCTACTCCTCGATTCCTCATTTCTACGAGATAAATAAATAAGGGATATATGTCCCTACTACTCTATCTTTGTTATATTAAATAGAAAAATCAACGAGTCGATAATTGACATATATTTTTAAGAGATTGTGAGTTTGAACCCTCACACACGTACTAAAATAATAATAATAATAAATAAATAAATCGAAGGTCCTTAACTTTTAAAATATCTTCAACGATCTTAAAATAAAGTTAAAAAATATATTTGATCTCTCAACTTTTATTAAAGTAACAATTTAGTCATTCTAATTTAAAGTTTGTAATAATTGAGTCTCTATTGTGATTTTTTTTAATTTTTTATATGTGTAGATCGATAAAATACAAAATCTTTTTTTTAGGGAATAAGTACTAAATCATTATAGGATAAAAATCGACACTTAATTTGATAAGATTTTTCATGATTATGGACTAATTGTTACAAATTTTAAATTATAAAGACTAAATTATTATATATCAATGTTCAAAGTTTAAATTACTACCAATTGTACGTAGACTAAATAGTTTTATAAAGTATATGAACAAATGTGTTTTTTAACAGAAAACTATTATTAATGTTAAAAAGCACTTTAGTTCAAATAATGACAGTTCCATGGTAGATATTGGAAGCACGAAACAGAGCGATTTTCCGTGAAGAAAAGCTAGACATTGCTGATATACTAAACAAAATTGAATACACCAGAGACCAAAGTTCAAATTCGCACAAAATGTTGGCAACATCTCGAGAATTGCAAATACAAAATTCTAATAAGTTGATGTGTACAAGACAACACAGGGATCGGCCGGGGATTGAAGCTTACCTGGGTAGACGCAATGAGGATACACCCGATTGTAGATGGAGACCTCCCTCAGGCAACCATTGGAAGCTTAACACTGATGCGGCATGACCTGTAGAAACTGGAAGAGGAGGACTCGGGTGGATCTGTCGAGATGGAAGAGGGAAAGTGGTTAGGGCTGGGTGTAAACCAATTTCCAGAGATTGGGGAGTTACATACTTGAGCTAATGGCAATCCGTGATGGGCTAGAAGCAATGGTGAACAAGGGCACTGAACTTATTCATTCAGAGACGGATTCCATGGAAGCTGTTCAATTTCTTCAAGGCAAGATGGATGTTTTCACATAACTTACTTGGCTTCCTGAGGATATTAGAAATTGTGAAGGAGGAAGGAGACTTGGATCAATCCAACATGTTAAAAAGGAACTCCAATTCGGTGGCTTGTGGGATTGTTCAGTTTGCGATGGAAGAGGGAGAAGCAAGGGAATGGTCTTCTGATCTCCCGCTTTGGTTATCGAGTCTTGTTGACTCTGATTTTTCATAGTTCTGTTTTGTTATATGCATTATTCCAAAAAAAAAAAAACACTTTAGTTCCCTAGTTTGTAGTCTTTAAATTTTAGGTAATGATCCTCGTATCTTCAAATTAGTAATATTTTAGTATTTAAATTTTAACATATGACAATTTAGTCCCTATAATTTGAAAATTGTAACAACTTAATCTTTATCTTGAAAAATCTCATCAAAATTAAGTGTCAATTCAATCAAATCTGAACCATGTTTTTTATGGTAAGAAATAAATTATTACTAATTTAAAAGTATTTGGAATAAATAGTTACAAGTGAAATTTAGTTTTTAGTAACTAAATGGTATGATTTTAATGTGTATTGAAAAATTAAAAAAAAAAAGTTATAACCTTTCAAGAATTCCGGTGGTTTCCTCATGTTAACCTTTCAACAAAATCAAAATTTGATAAAGCAGCACTCCAACGCTTAAGGATGACATGCCAAAAGATGACACCAATGTCACAATGTGCCAAAAAAAAGTCTGTAAGATGGAGAGAAATATAATTCTTTTAGTCCAAGAGGTAAGAATCCGAACTTCTAATATAGACCAATACCCAAATACAATAATTTATATTCACATTTGAGAAATGAAGAGAGTCTCACACAACCTAAAAAAACTATTTGACAACAATAATGGAGTACATGGTGGCAATCAGCATTGAACTTCATTCTCTCAGATATAGAATCGGGAAGACTCTAGTTAAAAGAATACACTGATAAATTTGGCAAAAAAAAAGGCACACACACAAACTCTTGGTATCTGGCCACTTTGGCAACTTCGGGCTTAGAGACATTCTCATTAATATAACTACTTATAGATACAGAAGAAGTACCTCCAGGCTGCAGCCCAACACTTGGGTGTGTCTTCTGGTGCTTTAGTAATCTGGTACCAACCAAAAAAAAAAATAAGTTACAAAATAGAAGCAGACATGGATTGAGACGGTTGAGCATTTTATTTAATCATTAAACAATTCGCCCAGCTTAAAGAAAGAATACCTGCATCTTGACTTATATGTAGAGATTCCACAAAAGTTTTATCGGACATCATTGAGCTAGTTTATTTACATCATTCTTTGGAGCTGACTGTTCCTTCTTGTCATAGTCTCCTCCGTCACATATGATTACAGATGCACCATCTTTTACATTCTTTAATCTCTCAATTAAAGCTTTGTTATCGTTTGTCAAAATGGATAGCTGCAAAACCAAATCGAGTTGGAACAGATGAATTTTCTGGAGCTCTTGGAAATCACTCATCTATTAAAGTACCTAAATATATGTATCCACATATGAAAAGACCAGAAGGTTCTTAAAAAGAGGCTTTCTGAATGTAGAGAGCAACTTCTTCCAACCAAAACTAAAGTACCTAAGCTGACCATATCTGATAGTCGGAACTCGGAACCAAGTTTTAATATCATGATAAATAAAAAATTTCATGGTAGTAAGTAGTAAAAGTTTATCGAAAGAGGCCACTGAGTAGAAATATGCAATAGAATATATATATATAGATATATACATACTGTGGAAATTAGTTTGTTCATTCTTCACAGTTTGGTCAAACTAACCTTTGAAAGAGATACTAAAAACTCGAGTTAGTGTTTAGTAGATTATAAATACAAACCCGAGCAGCAAAATAATAATACCTGTCTTTGAATTCGATCCCTCTCCACAGCGAGTTGCAGAACCATGTCCATGATAAACTTGGTACTCGAGTTAATTTCGTTTGCATTTGAACATTTTTCACTGTTGGCTTGATCCAATGCTTTCTCCAAGAACTCCACTCGAGCCTTGAGGGAAGTAAGTTCTTTATTTAGTTCAAAGTTGGCTTCAGACAAGATAATGCAATGCTCCTCTGCAGTATCAGTCTTACTTTCAGCTTTTGAAACTTTGGACTTGAGATCCTCAATTAGTGTTTCCATGTCCCATATTGCCGAATATAACATGTTCTGTTGCTCCTGACTTGCTTCTGATGATGATTTCGCATGCTGTAATTGGATCTCTTGTTCCCTCAACTGTTTTTCAAGTGAACCAACCTTTTTCTCTTTGCTGCTTGCACTATCTTTAAGAAAATTCACCTCTTCAGTAAGTTCCAAGTTCGTCTCTTGCAGCTGTGCGAGTTTGGCTTCTGCACCCTCTGCTCGATTTTCTGCCATGCAGATGCCCTCTTTTAGTGACTCAACAAGATTTTCCATTTCAATAAGCTGATCTTGACTTGCCTCTTCCGACTCAAACGCATTTTTCAGATCAAGCCTAGATTCTTTAAGCTGTTCCTCAAGAGACTTCACTTCTTCCCTCAATTTATCTAGTTCGGCACTCTTGGCGATTTTTTCAGCATTCCTTTTCTCGAGCTCCTGTATAGCCACTTCTTTTGCTTTAAGCTGCTCTGTCCAATCTTGAAATTTGGATTTCATCTCATTTTCACGTTGAAACGAACCATGTAGATTGAATTGAACAAGCTGGAGGCGACCAACTAGTTCCTTCGAAATCCCCATAAGAACCTCAACACTATTGTCTGCCTCCAGAAACCTACCCCAAACAACTTCTGCAGCCTCTTCCATTCTCAAAGCTACCTGTTCAGTATAGTGCAGCTTCAATCTCAGTTCCTCTTCCCGCTGCTTTGATTCTGACAACTTCTTCTCTAGATCTAGCTCCCTTGCAAGCGATTTTTCTAGCATCCTTAGAATATGCCTTTGTTGTTCAGTCATTGTATTTGATTTCCCATATATGTTGAGTACTTGATCATTATTTGATGACAACACGGGATCCTCCAATCTCCCTGCCAGAAAGGCAGAGTAATCAAAATTACAAAATAGTTAGTCGTTCATCATCTAACATCACTAATAACTGGATAAATATTTTTGAACTTACAATTTCCACTGCTTAAAACAATTCTCTGCAATTTGGTTGACTGCATCATCACTTCTAATATCTGCTTTCTGGATTGAACAAGCGATTTTTCAGAATCATGCAACTTCTCTTCTACCACATTGAAAACTTCACTTGATTGTCTGCAAGAAGATACCATTCGACGGGCACCAATGATTTCTTCTTCGAGCATATTCATGAAACTGTCCAGCTCTCTAACCTCGGAGTCCAAAAAGCCAGACAAAAAATCAAATGCCAATACCTTCCCAAACGAATCATCTGGGATATAATCATTCTCTAAATCCATTGCTTCAAAATCATTCTCCTGAGCCAGGAGGCACATCAGAAGTACATGAAGATTCATCAACTTCTCCGAGCAATACGCCAAGTCCAATTCTAATTTGGTCAAGGTTTTCATAGTATTCTCCAACTCTTGCATCTCAAGCCTTTCAGATTCTTCATTGGCAACATAAATGCCAGGATTTTCATCCATCGTCCCCACGGCTCAATCTTATTAAATCTGGTAAGTTTGCATAAAATTTCTTACTCTTTTAGCTAATTTAAGACCTGTAATCCAAAGAAATGCAAGACTTGACCTAATTGAGTAACCATAAGTCGTCAGAATTGAGAAGCGGAATCTCATTCAAGCAACCAAATAGCATAACATAATGCATTGAGAACAAAATTAAATAACACCCAAATCGATTCAGAAGCCAGAACTTCCCTTACCTTGGAGAAGATCGTGAATCCTGTAAGAGAAAGAAAGCAAAATCCTCAACCAGCAGAAGTTTCCATTTTAGGCGTCGGAATGTAGGATTGACGAGTCAAAATGGTTAACGTGAGCCGGGAGAGCGTACATCAGCCAGGCGTAAAGGGACTGATCACAGATCGCCGGTTGGAATTAGCTTTGATGTCCATATCAGGCGCACGTTAGCTTGTTGATTGACTGTGGGGAAGCGAATGATTGATTGAGGTCCATAAAGAAGAACACGTGAAGCCAAACCCAAAACCAAAAGGCTGAGTTACTTTATCTAGAGCTTGGCTTCTGTGAAAAACAATGTCGATTCATAGGGACCAAAATTTGTCAAGTTAAAAGGTCACAAATGGCGTCGATCTCCATCAATTCTTCACACTATTTCAAAGGTAATCTCTACCATTGCTGAGGTTAAAGGATAATTTTTAAGAAAAAATTGCAACCTGTTTTACATTTATAAATATTTTTTTATGTTGGTGTATATGATTCTAAATATGTATGACACGATGACATTTCTATCCACATATACATGTTTACATGTGTTCGAATGTCATCAACATATACATGTTTACATGCGTTCGACATCGACATGGGTGAATTTACCTTTCACAATAAAATCGATAAAATATAAAAAATATTAATAAAATGTCACTAATATATATAATATTAATATTAATTATTTTTAACTAATTTAGAAATAGAAAAATATTTATTTGTTAATTTAAATATTTTTTACGATTTTTTAATTTTTCTAATTTTTACAAAAATATCTATCGACATCAACATTTTATCGATATTTCAATGAAATTAAGACATCGACATTTCTATTGACATCGACATTTAAAATCTTAGTGTATATTATATTATTTTTAATACGATGTTAAGGAAAGTAACGAATTAAGAGAGTATCCATACTTTAACAGTACTAGAAATTTTCTCAATTTTCATCTAGCGAAAGATGTGAAGAAAAATAATGGGACTGTAAAAAAGCGAGATCGAATTTGAATGGTGCATAAACTAATCTCGATATCTACCTTCCTTGATAAATCTGCAGGCTATTATATTTTAGAGTTTCTTCTATAATTGTATAAGCTATATTTGTTGTGTAATGTTGAGATAAATTTTTCTCTTATTGTATTATCGGGAAATTGCAAATAAATAAAGTAACGGTTACATTTTAATAATTATATTAAGTGTAGTGTCGTGTGTTGAAATTGCGGCATAAAAATGAGATTAAAAATAAAATTAAATGACCAAAATAGTAATTTTTAAAAATCTAAGGACCAAAACAAACATGAACTAAAACTGAAAAATATATTAACCAAAATAATTCTATTTATGCATAAGTTATACTAATTGTACTTGTGTTGCTTTTTTTTTCTTAATTGTAGGGTCTTTTCCTACTTATGGCAAACCATTTACTATATTTTAACTCATTTAAACTCTAATTTCTTACCTTTTTTTACTTTTTATTGTTTGAGTTCAATTGATACATGATAAGAGATCGAACTACGATCTTTAGAATGAACATGAATATCTGATCCTAGACTATGTTTATAGTTGAAATAATTAAAAGAAAAAAATACCATTACAAACTTTTTATTTATATGCTGCTATGGTTATATAAGGTACTATTTGTTTTACCATTTCAAATCATTTGAATTGTAACACAATCACATTTAAGAAATGAGTACCAACTTGATAATTGACCAAATGAACAATATAAAATGAATGTTTTGCCGTCATGTCAGTGATAAATTTATAAGATCTAATGTCTTTGTAGTCAAGTGGATAGGGAATTGTGTGTGAATCTCTCTCTCTAATTATATTTCCTCATCATTTGTTTGGGGAGTGAGTGGATTATTTTTTATTTGGAGGTGGAAAGTTTCTCTTTCTCATAATATTGTGTCTATAATTTTTTTAAATAAGATAGTGGAATTTGACCTGGATATTAATGAAGTGAGTTTCATCTTTTGTGTTGGATATCGATGCCAAATAAAAAAATAATAAAAAAGTAAAAAGTAAAAAGTAAAAGTGATCTTTTTTACCATCRGTTATGAATGAGTTGAGATATTTAAAGAGTCCTGATTCAGCTCTACAAAGTGAGCAAATAGTGTCTCAGGTCATACTGTGATACATTGAATCTTGGGGACTCGATCGCAGGGACTCAATGTGTCTTCTAGAATCAGGGGTATTCGAGTACAAAATAAACTTGTTCATTTATGTTACCTATTGTACCTATTGTGGAGGGCGTTGCACGAAACCAAACCGGAACTCGGCAAAATAGCCCCATAACTTTGGGAGAAGGGGAACTAAGGAAAAAAATATGGAAGAAACAGGTATTTTCACAACTCTACCACCCAGTTGATGTAAGAAAAACATGCACGCAATAAATAAACCTTCCAACGTTTAAATCATTCTAAAGTCCAAGCTATAAAATCGATTTGAAACAGAACCATATAATTGCATACAAGCGTGACGGAGAGACCGTTTTTGTTACGGTCATTACAGAGATTGGTTACATATATGAAATTGGTTTCATCTCTCATAGCTCGGTGTTATGTTCGCAGGGGGCGTCTCGAGATAATATGTGGTCTTAGGCAAAATTTTGAAACGAAGGCCTTAATATGACTATTTTTTACTTTATTTGATGAGATGCTTCATTTTAAAAAATTTCATTATCTACCATTTTTGTTTATGTTTTGATTTATCTATACCTATTATTTCTTCTATTATTTTATCATTTTTATTACTTTTACTTCTACTAAAAAAATTTATTGATGACATTTTTTCATATTCAATCCGCACATTTTTTTAATTCAATAAGTTTTTATATTTTATGTTTTCTTAAGCTTTTCAGATCCATATTCATGTTTTTTTTATAGACATATTAATATTCTATATTGAAACAAGTAAGCAAATCTAAACAAATCTAAAATATTAACGCATTGAACAATATGAAATAAATTTTTTAAAAAAGTAAAAGGAATGGAACGAAAAAACTTAAAATAATAAACTTTGAAGCTTTTGTTTCTATTCTAACAATTTGAATTGACATAATTAAGTTAAAATTAGTATAACCTGCCGAATATATTTATGGTAGTCTTTTTCAGAGGAGAATTTTAAAAATTTCAATCGTGAAAACATGAATAAAAAGAGAAAGAATACAGAATCTAAAATTTGAGAGAGTTTTGAAGGATATGTTAATTTTTTTTTCTTCAATGAAGTTGGAAAGGTCTTAAACATGAAGAAAAATATAAAATATTAAATTTTGAAGGTATCAAATTAGAATGGAGAGTTCTTTGGTATATGGTTTTAAATATTGAGAACCTCTTTTTTTGAGAATGGAGTGTTAGTATGCGACAAATTTATGTGAAGCTGATTCTTGTGCGGATTGGCTTGCTAGTCAAACAGTGATTCTTCCCTTAGGTTTACATATTTGTGAAGATCCTCCTAATAGTCTATTTTTCCCTATTGATTGCGTATGTGATGGGGTCTCCATGCCCCGTCTTGTCATTTTTCATCTTATGATTTTTCTTAGTTTGATGGGCTTTAGTCTCATTTCCTTCCCAAAAAATAAAAAATTAAAATCTAGAGAAATTTATATGACGGAGTGATTATGGGTTATATTTAATTAAATATTTTTTTCAAGAGAATTATATTTATTATTAATTTGTATTTTCAATAAGAACAAAATCCATGAAAAATATATTCTTTTATATTCTAAATTACATTTACAAGTAAAAACTAAAATAAATAGATAATAATATTATATTATATTCTATATATTAATATATACCTTAAGTCGGCGCTGTATGTCCGGAGGAACATTTTGAAGAACTGTATACTTCATGAAGTCAACAATTTATCAAATATTGAGTTATTAAGCTCGGTATTGTAAGATAGGATATTGACAAATCAATGAATAAGGCAAGATTATTCATTTCTATTAGTCTACACGCCAAGCCATATTTTATCCTCCAACAACTATGAGTTTGCATACTTATCTAATTTGTTAAAAATAAGCTCATAGGTGGACTCTCATAAAACTATCCATTGAGATGAATTGAATCGAGTTTAGATCAGTCTATCAAACCTAAAGGTGACAAAATCCTTGTAATCAGCCAAAGGAGCACATTTAAAGTAGGATCGATTTTGCCGTGGCAAGGATAGGAAATTTATTGGCTAGTTTAGAATTATTTTTTATCAATAACTTGACAATGATAAATAAATTTATACCTTAGGGCTTTCTTTTACATCTCATTGAACCAACTTAGATAATTAGAAAAGTTGACATTCTCCTGAAAGGTGCATAATAGTAAGTGAGTAAATAAATAAATAAATATGAGACTTATTTTAAAGGTTCAAATGGTCCATAATCTTTTAGGCAACCTCCAATTTGATTTTTAATCTTTTAAAATCCTTAATTTTACTCCTAAGTATTAAAATTCTCAATTATATTATTATGTAAAAAAAATTAAAATTTGTTTATAAAAAGTAATGACGAATATGTATAACAAACCAATCTTTAAAAGTATTAAGCTCATAGTTGAACTCTGTATAACGTTTTACTGAAAAGAAAAATTAAATCATGTTTGCATCAGTCTTTTGAATTTAAAGAAAGAAAAATCCTTCTTTGATCTCAATTAGAGTTCTATAAAATTTGAGAAGGTAAATCCATTTATACTTTTAAATTTCATCTCAAGAAATGTGAAGTTGGATTAAAAAAATGTAACATAAAATAAATATTTATTTTTTCAGATCAAAATTATACTAAAATATCACAAATATAGAAAAGCACTACTTCATGTTGGAATTTTTTTTTTTAATATATCGATTTTGGCCTTTGACTCCCTTTTCCCGCCTCTCTCTCATAATTTTCAATCTGTGACAAATTATTTGTTCATTGCCCAAATGTTTGAAACGTAGACGTGGATAGAAATCGATGAATATTTCGAAAAAAAATATAAAAATTGTAGATATTGATACAAATTTTTTGAATTAGTAAATAAGACTTAATTAGCTCATAATTGTTCGATTTTGACCCTCATATCTAAATATATCAATAATATACATATAAAAATGTCATTGCGATGATAAGTCACAATAAAATCATGTATATACTTACGTGTAAATTATTTGAATTAGTAAATTAAAATTATTGTTGATTGATTATGTTTTATTGATAATTTCTAATCAAATCTAATCTTTAGTTACATAATTAAATAAGATATGTGAAATATGTATAAAATTTGAAAAAT